AGTGGTTTTATATCTTGAACATTTACAAGTTCAACGTTATTATACCCTTTAAATATAACTGAAAATACTTGATCTCCTCCTCCAATTGCTGTTATTTCTGCTTGATAGAATTGTCCGTCTCCTGACCAACGTGCAAGGCAAGAGTCTCCCACTTGAAGTGGCTTTGTGAAGGTTGGCATTGTGCTTGAAATTGGAGTGGTAGGAGTAGAATTGGTTCTAGGTGAAATTGAAGAGGGAGACTTTTTAGGTGAAATTGTTACCTCTTGATCAAGTAGTTTTATAAGTTCTGTTAAATCAGCTTTTAGCTTTAATAATGAAGCATTTTCTGGCTCACTTCTTAATGCAAGATTCACTTGATCTAATTTATATTGATATTCAGTAAGTTCTTCTGTGCTCATCTTATTTTATTTATTAATAATTAAGGTTTTTTATTGAATTTATTATTATTATTATTATTGTAAAAAATTTTTTATTCTTGTAAAAATATAAAAAGAAAATTAACTAGGTGGGACAATTTAATGCACAAGTGTAACAGTATAAGTTAATCTTATGTGATAATAAACACAATCATCACCAAGATTTATTTTCTAAAAATGTCACAAGTAAGATAAATAACATCATTTATTTTTGTTTCCCAAAAAGAATTTTTTTATTTATCAATCCATTGATAAAAATAATAGGAATCATTTGATCAAGAAGAAGCTATTGAATTCATTGAACATGATGAAATTTTAGAAGAACAATTACTTGATGAAAATGATAATGAACAAATTCCAATGGATGATGATGACAATGGTGATGGTAGTGATGGTGAGATTGCTAATCTTGAAGAAGTAATGCTGGATGATTCAGTACAAGGCTTTTTTGATCATAAAGGTTTTCTGATTAGTTGATCTCTTATGTATACATGTCACAACATAATATTAATTTTGGTATCTTGATCATAAATTATTTAAAGAATCAGTGTATGCCGTTGATATAAACCCTATTAATGAAGAAATGATTATATCCGGAGGAGGAGATAATAAAAGTTATCTGTGGAGGTCAGATACTGGTGAAAAGTTGCACGAACTTTCTGGTTGTTGTCAGAATGCTTGATTAATAATAATATTTGATTTGATTTGATGAAAATACTTTTTTTTAATCTAATTTATGATTGATAAAATAATAGGTCACGATGATTCAGTTGTCTCAGTGTCATTTAGCAAAGATGGACAATATGTAGCAACTGGTGGTATGGATGGTAAAATTATGGTATGGAAGGTTGAGAATGGTCAACATGTTGCCACACTAGAAGGTCCAAATGAAATTACAGTATGTCCATAAAATTATTTTGTATATATGTGTTTTGATAATATCTAATATAAATATATACTTTTGATCAGTGGTTGGATTGGCATCCCAAAGGCAATGTTATTTTGGCTGGTACTGCTGAATCAACAATCTGGATGTGGCAAAGTATATAAAATTATTCATTGTTATCATTTTGGTTTTTTTTAAAAAAATACATAATTAGAAATATATTTGTATAATGTTTAAATAGTACCTTCAGGCAACTTTATGAATCTATTCGCTGGACATTCAGCATCAGTTACTGCGGGTCAATTTACTCCAGATGGTAAAAAGATTGTTACAGGATCAGAGGATTCATCATTAATAGTATGGGATCCAAAAAATGCCACATCTATTTTTAAATTATCAAGTAAATTATCACATATTTTTAAGACTATATTTGTTTGGTTGTTGATTAAACTATATTTATAGCATTAAATTATTGTTGTTGTTGTTACTGTTTAAGATGATGACTCAAGATTTCATCATGAAGGAATAACTTCACTTGCTATCAATAAAGAAAATAGTTTAGTTCTCACAGGTTCTATGGACCATTCTGCTAAATTAATCAATCTAACAAATGGACATGTATGAATAATAATAATAATTATTATTTTCAATTCAATAAACGCTAAAATCATTATTATCTCTATTACCATTATTATTATTAATTATATATATATATAGATTATTGGATCTTTTGAAAATCATACCGACTCGATAGAAACTGTTGGCTTTTCAGACATGTAAGATATATCTTTTTTTCAAATATAAATATTCTCTTTATCTTAAAAAATTAAATTAATAAATATTTTTATTTAAGATCATCATTAGCAGCAACAGGCTCGGTTGATAATAAATTAAATATTTGGGACCTTACTACAATGCGACTTCGGCAAACCTGTCAACACGATGTAAGTTTTTTTTAGAATATTTACATAAATATGCATGTATTAGTGAATTATTAACTTATTATATTATAAATACTATAATAATATCATAAGGACGCAATAGTTCAACTTCAATGGCATCATGAATCGCCCTTGATAACAACTTGTTCAGTTGATAAAACCGTTCGCATTTGGGATTATCGAACTGGTAATTGTGAGAAAGTTTTCCATGGACATGATGACACAATATTAGGATTCGTTATGTCAAAGTATAGATCTATTTTCTTATCCTAATGCTAATAATCAAATAAAATAATACTAATAAATAATACATTTTGATAATAGAGATGGTAAAAAAATAGTAACGGCTGGTGATGATCATGTGTGTCTTGTATTTGAACTTTGATTTTTCGTTTGCAATAAAAGAAATTATTTAAAGGGTATAATAACGTTGAACTTGTAAATGTTCAAGATATAAAACCACTAGAAAAAAATAAAAGGAAAATGTCGCTTGATAAAAAGGAAAAGGAACACAAAAAAAAAAAGGCTGGTGATGGACAGAAAAAAGTTAACGAACAGGTTCAAAAACAGAAAAGTTGGCTGGCTTTTGCTAGTAGCACTTCAACAGTACCCGGAAAAAAAGTCACAAAAACAAAAAGATTAGCTCAACCACCGATAAATAAGAAGAGTATTTTTGCTACACCTGAAAATCCTGAAGGAAAAGGTAAATAAATAATAGGATATTTTAATTTATATAAATTTTATATATTTATAACTAATATATTAAATTAATTCTATACATGTATATATATACATTAGTTGGGGTTGTTGGTAGTGGTAAACCAATGACTCACTTCCAACAACGTGGTAAACATATTTTTGACCGTGATTAGTTTAATTTCTTATGGAACTAGACATTCTTTTTATATTTTACGTATTTTACATAATTTTATATTTTACATTTTTCTTAACTCATCTATATATATATATACATATTTAATTTATGTAAAAAAAAAAAAGAGATAGAGAAAGGACTACTAAAACAGAATGAGAACATTATGAAAAGTTTCTTGAAAATTGGATTGATACTTTATAGAGCAGTAAGGAAATTTAATTTGCTCTCTATTATTTGCTCTTTATATACAGCTTTTTTGGTTTATTAAAATTTTTTTTAAACCATAACCTGGACACACACATACATGCATATACATATATATATATGTTTAATATATATATTATATATACATACATATTATATATATTATACATAATCCGAGCTAATTATTTGGTGGGTGACATCAAGGTAATGAATTAATGCTAGGTTATAATATTCCTTAACAATTTTTTACTAAAAGAACAATTTGTACAAACTGAGATTATTATTATTATTATTATTATTATTATTAATAGTTATAGTTATAACTATAATTATTATTAAAAAAAGTGCAATGAAAGAAAATTAAAAATTAAGTTTCCTTTTATTTTTTAATTTATTATTAAAAAAATTCTTGTTTACACTTTTTTAATTATTTTATTCAATTAATAAAAGTTTAGATTAATTTTTCATTGTTTAAACAGGTATTTCCTCTCTTTATCGATGGTTGTATACGATTGCAATTCGCTGTGCATTTTGAGTATAGTGAGTACACGTCCTGAACAGGTACCCATTACACCATACCACCTTGTTTTAAAAAAGATTATTGCAAAAATTAAAATTTCTGCCCCTTCAATGATCGCTCCCTATATGTCATAGTAAATATATTATTTGGAAAAATTGATAGAAAGTTCAAAAGATCTTCTTCAACGACAATGTAAAGTCTAATCTTTTCATTAACCAATCAAATAAATAGATCTTTTGATCATCATCTACGCAAAAAAAAATTAGAAAAGATATTTTTATAATGTTAACTTTCATTAAAAATTATTGTAGATATGACAAAAGATTGATAAAAATTGAACAAATTCAGAAAGTAAGGGTCGGTAATAATTTTTTCATAAAAACAAAACGATTTAATTATGGCGATGGTAAGAGATATATTGGTCACGATAGTAGCCATGGCAGTAATTTAACTATCGAAGATAAAGATTATAAAGGACTTTTTTATCATTTGATGAATAATAATTACCCAAAGAAATTTGCACTTTCTTTTCTACCTGATATTAACAAAGTAAAAAATCATGATGTTATAATTGGTTGGATACCTTATGAAAAATCTATACCGCAGCCTAAAGCTACTCCAAAAAATTTCAAGGAAAATGATAAATTTGTAAAACTTTTACATCAAGTTATAGCAGATAATGTTGCAACAATTGAAGATTTAGAATTAAAAGCATTTGCTAAATATCGAAAAAATGGGTAATTTGTTAATTAACTAATATTTTTATATAATTTATTTTATTTCTTTATTAATTGTTTTATAATGTTTAGATGGCATCATATTTCTGGTAAATTTTTGAATTATTATTAAAATATTTGTATATTTTAACAAATTCATCAATGAATTCTTTTCATTCATTCTTTTATTCAAAAAAAAAAAGATTTACGAGATCCTTCGCCTTGGGGTCGTATACCATTTCCAGAAGATATTATTGGAATGGTAGAAGTTAGAGATGGCAAAATCATTTCTGAAACCTATCAACCAATGCCTACTCATCGTATCATAACAACTAAAGGATTATTTGTGTTGAGTGAACCATTTCATAGAAAATTAATAGAGAAATTAAATGAGTTTTAATTTAATAATTCAATTCGATATATTTTTTTGAAAATAAAGCCTCTTTTTCTTTTCTCCCTGTTACTTCATAAAATTCTTTATAAATTTATATTATAAGTATAATTATGAGACATGATGCTTTAAAATTTTGTATGCAACTATAATTTTATTTATGGATAAAGAAAGTTTTTTTGAATGGCCAAACTTTAATCCGGATACAAAAGCAATAATGAATATTAACACGAATATTTAAAAGTATTACTAATATGAATCAATAAATTTTCAGCCTGGATCTTTTCAAAATCATTCTAATTTCAACAATAATAATATGACTGAAAATAATCAACAAAAACGAGAAGATAAAAAAAGACAATAGGAACAGGAACAAGAACAAGAAAAGAACAAGAACAAGGAGAAGGAAACATAATCAATCAAAACGACTAGTGTCTTTAAAAATATTTGCAATTGGTCAACTTATGACAAGTTTTTGAAGGTGGTAAACAAAGAGCTCAAAGGGTCGAGGATAAATTCTGGTATACATTACAGTACTATCACGGTTCCCGTTGACATGTCATCTTTTCATGGCATCTATGGCATTAAAAGAAGCATACACATAAGTTTATCTTTTCATTCAAAAGTTTATTTATTTTTACTTAATTATATGTATATTTAATTCGGAAAGAAGTATGATTAAAAAATATATGTTTAGATTTCTAATACAAGATCTTCAGCACTGATGTAAAAACTTCTACATGTATATACAGAAATAATGCAAGTCATTCATCATTAGCATATATAATACATACAGGCTCTAGAACAATTGTAAATTATTATATTTTGCATTTATATTAATATTTTCTTATTCTAGAATATATAATATAGTATATAGAAGAATGGGAATGGTGTAAACACTCCAATGTAATCTTGAAAAGTGCATTGAAAATAGGAATTTCTTTGTCCTTGAATTTATTTGCAATGTCATAGCCTGCTCAATTTCAGTATCAAAAATTTTTTTTTTTTCACCAAACAAACCATTAGAAGTTCTCTCTTGATTTTTGTAAGTTGTTTTTCTTTTAAAAACACAATATATTATAAAGATATTCTGAATTAACACAAGATCCAATTACAAAGAATATATTTTTGTAATAGATTATATATGAGATGGAAGTCTTCAAAATTATGAAGATTTATATAAATATAAAAGAAAAGAAAAGTATGGAAAATGTCCAACTTGCAATAGATATAATACTTATTCAGGATAATGTAAATCATGTGATTCAAAGCTTTTATGTAATTGAAGGATGGACTAGTGGCAATGAAACATTAGATGAGTTGATTAAAAAAAAGTACAACTTAAATCAACAAGATATGCAAGATATGAAAACCATTATTATCTTCAATGGACTTCTTATAATGATTTAGCAAATATTTAAAGGACAGGTGAAGACTATACAAAGCTACTTGGTTAAATGATGATAAATATACAGAAAGGTATCCCTTAAACAGTTAATCAGCTATTGATAGCTGATAAAAATTTTTCTGATATATAAAATTTTCTCTAAGCATATCACTTCCTGATATGAAAATGATATCTGAGATATAGCTGACCGGTCTGTAAAAAAATTTCGGGTGTTGTCCTTGTGGTTTTTATATAACTTTCTTTTAAAAGTTGGTCGAGCATAGTGGAAATTTGAAATGTTGCACTAATTTTTTATATTGTGCAACGTAGCTTTACAATACAAGGCAAACATTCTGGCAATAAAAAGTAAGTGATAAACTGGATTTAAATTGGATCTGAACTTGATCTCCAATTTATAGAGGTAACAACTATATACTGGTGAAGTTTCAGGAGCAATGAGTTCTGTATGACATTTCGTGTAACAACAAACTTCCACCATGCTAGTTGGTCAATTGGCTATTTTTACTTTGCTGATCATTATATTGACCAATAAGAATCCGAGATCGTGATTTTGTGTTAACATTAAAGAAATACTCTGACCGTTTAAGGTATAGTGAGATATGACTGTGTGTCATTCATTAAACGATTCTATTAATATTAGTTCCAGATATTTTAAAATACTATTGATTGTTATTGTTGTAATTAAAATATTTTATTTGTTACGTTAATTCAAAAATTATGTGAAACTTCATGATAAATCATTTCATATAATATGATTTATGGATCAACACAAGATTCAGTTACAAAAGAATATAATGTATGGAAGGTAGGTATAAGTCTTCAAAAATTATTTAACAGAGGATTTTAAAAATTTAAAATGAGAAGACAAAATTAGTACTCTTAGAGAAATTATTGAAGAAATATATTCATAAAGAAGAAACTATTCATTGTAATCTTCATGTTGGTAATATTCTAGTCCTTCATAAATTACAGACTTGGATTATCATACTCAGCTAGACAAACATCTGCATCAAACAAAAATGATATATTTGGAATATTACCATATCTCGTGCCTGAAGTTTTAAAGGAGAAACCATATACAACAGTATCAGATATATATAATTTAGGGGTTCTGATATCTGTAGTATCAACTGGCCAATAAGTGTTAAATTGAAAAAGTGATTACATTACCAAGAAATAAGGGAACTAGATGATTGAATCTAGAACATATTAATATAAATAACGTTGTCACATCTTGACTTTGTATATCTATACAACTTCATAATTGTAACCACATACATACTAATCCTGTGTATAATTATTTTTTATTTGGTTTTTTTTTTCTTTAGCAATGGAGAGTATTGTTTAGTGAAAGATAGTTTTTGAAAATAAAGCATAAATATATATTATTACACTTTAACATAAGTATTTTAAATTATTTTTCCTCCAAGATTTTAATAAATAAATAAAAATTTAATCATTTACTTGTTTGACAATTGATACTTGAAACAAACTTTGAATTGAATCAATTAAATTAATTTTATCAAGTTAAATACAATGTTCAATGTCAAAACCCTTTTGTGCTTCTGAAGATGGTTTTTTTTTGTAGAAAATAAATATTACAATTTACTTAGAGTTTACTAATAATTGTTGAAGCTAGAAGGACACCAAAGGATAAATTTAGATTTATATTTATCCCTTAACGGTTAATCGGCTATTGATAGCTGATAAAATTTTTCTGATATAAAAATTTTCTCTAAGCATATAACTTCCTAATACG